CAGGCTGCTGAAGCGGAGCGCGTGAACTTAATCACTATGCCACCGGGCTGGCCCCCTCAGTGTACAAATCTTTCACCTCCTTGGTTAGGTTTATGCCCAAGTATTTTATTCACTTTGATGCTATTGTAAACGGAATTGTTTTCTTAATTTCCTTTTCAGATTGTTCATTAATTTAAAATTTTTATGCACTCAAATCTGATCATCTTTTCTTTGATTCCTTCAGAGGTTTATGTCTTGCTTAGGGAGGCTTTCCTCCTTTCAATCTTATAAAGATATTTTTCTGCATTGTCTTCTAGTTCTTTCATAGTTTTTGTTGTTGCTATTGTTCGACTTTAATCCGTCTGGATTTCCAATGAATTGCCAATTCCCTAGTGATGATTAGGACTTGGACAGAAGGGAAGGTGGAAGGATAGGGATAGTAAAAGGAGTGAAGGCTGGAACAGCAGAGTATGCTTAGGGGGGCAGTCCAGGTGGCTCCAGTGTTAAGTCTGGGAAGGAGGCAGTGAAGGGCCTGGAATACCAGGCAAAGAAATTTGGATTGAATTGTAACTCCATGTCCCTACTCAGTTTTTTCAAAGTTTTCTCTTATCGTCTTGTATATGAATTTTCTACTTCAGATAGCTTGGCCTTCTGGACACACCTATGCATATTATTTTTGTGCCTGCCTCCTTGCCTTTGCCCAATCAGTGACTCTTGCCTGGAAAACCTTCCCTTCTCAGCTCTGTTCATCTAAAACCTACTTATTCAAGACCTGGTTCAGGGACCCCTTCACGAAGCCTTCCCAGACTGTTATAGCTCTTTGTGACCTCTGAACTCTTCTAGAACCAACTGCTGTTCCTTGATTGCACATAAAACACAGTCATTTTCTTCTCGGGATTGCACCATGGGCATGAACCTTGTCCATTTTTCACTGAGCATCAGCCTGTGCTGGGCATTCTGCTGGGCTCAGGGCATACAAGGTGAACAGGGTGTTTAGGCCCCTCTCCAACAGTGCTGATGGTCTAGGGGCAGGACAAAGACAAGTTAAGAGGTGATTCTGGCACAGAATGACAAATGCCGTGGTGTAGTCCTAGATGCACAGGACTCTCTGGGAACAGGCTGGGTGTCAGGGAAGCGTCCCTCAGCTGAGACATGACGTGACCTCTAAGCTTGCCAAGAGGGGTGAGGTGAAGGTGGGGCAACTGTGCCAAGAGGAGAGAACAACTTGTGCTGAGGCCCAGGGTCCAGAGAGTGCAGGAGTTTTGAGGAACTGAAGGATGTCTGGGGGGGTGGAGCCTTGGTTGTCAGGGTGGGGAGGAGATGGGGCAGTATAGAGGGCACAAGAGGAACCTGAGAGGCCAGCGTGGCTCTGCCACTGCAGGCGCTCTTAAGACATGCCATGGAGCCGGGTGGGGGGCGGATCTTAAGAGCCATTTGGGGCCAGGGGGCTGGAAATTCTAAATAGGAGAGTGTCATGGTCAGATTCAGGACTGTGTCACTTGAATGGTCACTTGGCTATTCTGAGGTGAATGGCTTGGAAAGGGGCATAGCAGGGTGGGGGGTGTGGAGAGGGAGCCTGGAGGCGGGAGACCCTCTCGAGGCTGTTACAGAAAGAGGGTGGTGTTCTGGTGGGAGTCATGGCAGTGCAAGTAGGGAAGAAGATGAGAGCAAGAAGCGGCCAGTAAATTGCCCAAGGACCCTCTGCGAGCACCAGAGCCAGTGCTCTCTCTTCTCTACCTGCTCTGCAGGGCCTACCTGTCTTGGCACAGGTGGCCTTCAATGGAACCCTGGGAGGGGAGGGAGGAGGAAGGTACTGTCTGTTCTTCCAGGCCAGCAGCAGACCTTGAGGGAGCCACAATAAACGCTGTGTTTGTTTGATAAAGCACTTGGCTTTTGGTCTCGGCAGGAGGAAGAGCTAGAACAGGTGTGGCAAGACCTGGGCGGCCTGTGGCTCAGCAGTGGGAGGTGGGGTGGGACAGAGCCCCAGGGCCTGGCAGGGGGCTCCAGGGCCTCAGATTTGGAAGAAATCCGGGGACTTTCTCACAACCCAGCCATCTCCCTCATGTTCCCAGGCTCCTGCCTGGCTGAATACACCAAAATATTAACGATACCAACTCACGCTGAGGTCCTACTGTGTGCCTAGCGTTGTGCCAGGCTCTTTTCATTCCTGCAGGCACGCCTTCATTCCACACATGGGTGCTGGCCTGCGCTGAGTGCTGCGGACAGAGAGAAGCCCAGGATAGTGCCCCTGACCTTGGGAGATGACCTTCTGGTGGGGAAGTTTGACAAGAAACAAAACCACAGCATAGTGTAGTATGTGCTGTGATGGGGTGAGAACAGGCTGCGTGGGAACCCGGAGGATGGCTCAGTAATCCTCTGCACAGCCCAGTGGTGTTATCAGACCCATTTTCTAGATGAAGAAACAGGCTCAGAGGAGTGAACTGCACTGCTTACCTGGTCAATTTGGTTCTGACTAATTTTTTTCTGCAGGGGGCGATGAGGATAAAATGAGGATGAAAAAGATAAGTTAGAGGGGCCCCTATGGATCATCTGGTCCAACCCCCTTGTTGAAATGATGGGGAAACTGAGACCCAGAAGGAGAAGGGAGTTGCTCAGAGTCACACAGGAAAAGGAGTGGATCTAGAAAGTGACTCCTAGTCCAAGGTGTTCCTTCGCATCGAATGCCTTTCCCTTCCCTAGTGGGCTGAAGTTTCCTGGGACCCTCACGTGGGGCTCTCCTCAGCTTGTGGTCTGTTTGCCGCAAACTCCACCACCTCTGTTTAGACTCTAAACTCCAGAAAAGATAAGAAGAGGTTGAGTTAGGACAGAGCCGGAAGCTAGGCAATGATGTGTGTGTTGGGGGGTTAGGTTGGAGTAGGACACCTCACTACGCCTCAGGAGGCCCCAGGGAGCCCAGGCTTGGGGAGAGACCAGGGAGCTGGTGGATGGCCCGAGGGCCCGAGGATTGGGTCTGCCTGTCTCCTCTGCCAGTGTCCCTCCGGTCTGGGGCTGCTGGGGGTGGGCTACAGCGGGCCGGCTAGCTCTGGGCTTCAGGCTGCATTTCTGCCCTAGTGTGGCCAGGAGGCATTGTGTCCAGGCTGCTCTCCTGAAGCTGGTGATAAGTGAATAACTTTGCCCCTGTCTGCAGGGCTCTTGGGGACAAAGAAGCCACCCGGTGCCCCTCAGCTCTGGCTTGGCCCAGCCCGGCTTCCTGCCTTCCCTGGCCAGAGACTGCGGGAGGTGAAGGCAGAAATAACCCCTTGGCCCTCTGCCCACCTTCTAAATCCCATCCCAGACAGGCCCAGAGAACATTTCTCCTCTTGGTTCCCTGCCCCTCACCTCCTATTGCCACGCCTCTTTCCTCTCTGACCCTCCCTCCCAATGAGCCCTCTCCCCTCAATGACTCCCCACTGAGCCCCACTCCCTCTCTGAGCCCACACCCCCTCTCTCCAGCTCTCCCTAGGATCCATCTCCATCAATCACCGCCTTCACCTTCCTGTTCACTGTCACCCTCCCTCTTTCCTTCCCCCAGGCTGGAAGAGTGGTTCCCAAAGGGGACCCCGTTGGAGAGCACATAATGGCACCCCAAGTCCTTTCCTGGAACTTACAGAGAAGGACCTGAAGCCAGGGTGCTCTCACCATTCATGGTAACCTACTTCCTCTGCCTTGGATCATAAAGGGTGACAACATGTCGGTGTTCCTTAACCAGAGGAGGATTCTTGGGGAGCTAAGTGCAGTATGTTATTGAAAAATCTGGCTGCCACTGGGACCTTTTGCTTTAGCTTTCCTGCAGGCAAAGAAGTTGGAGATACAATAACTGAAATAATTTCAAGTCTCTCTAATCGCAAACACCTGTCCGGTGGCCCTCATTCCCCTCAAGTTGCTAACTTGGCCTGGATTCCCTTTAGAAGCAAACCTCTTGGACGCACGATCTACACATTCTGTTTTCCTTCTCCCACTCACTTTCCTCTCCACTGCGTCTCACCCTACTCCTCTTGCTAAGGCCACCAGTGACCGACCACCTTGCAGCTTTTACTCCCATGGCTACTCCTCAGGCCTCATCTTGCCTGACCACTCCCACAGCCTTGGACGCTGTTGCCAGCGCCCGCCTTCTTGAAACCCTTCCTTTCTCTTTGGTTTCTAGACTGACCTCACCCACTCCTCTGGTTTCGGTTGCCAGCTGTATGCTAACAACAGCCAAGTACGCTAACCACTCCTGAGTTCCAGATCTCTGTATAGGTCCTGCCACTTCTGGATGTCTCTGCCTGGAGGTCCCACAGGCTTGCCAAACTCTGAACGTTCAAAACTGAACCCAGGGGCCGGCCTGGTGGCACAGTGGTTAAGTGTGCATGCTCCGCTTTGGTGGCCTGGGATTTGCAGGTTCGGATCCCGGGCACGCACCAGCGCACCGCTTGTCAAGCCATGCTGTGGTGGCGTCCCATATAAAGTAGAGGAAGATGGGCATGGATGTTAGCCCAGGGCCAGTCTTCCTCAGGAAAAAAAAAAAAGAGGAGGAGGATTGGCATTGGATGTTAGCTCAGGGCTAGTCTTCCTCACACACACACACAAAAACTGAACCCAGCATCCTCCCCCAGCAACCTGCTTTCCTATTTTGGTAAATGGCACCACCAACCCATCAGTGACCTAGGTTGGGAAATTTGGGTTATCCTGGTTCTTCCCTTTCCCTCATCCCCTGTATCCAAATGGTTCTTGAGCCCTGCTCATCTTGCTTCCTCAACAGCCCCCTGCCCCATTGTCCCTGCCTTATTTCTGGCCTGCATCATTTCACACCGGGGTGGTTGCACAGCCTCCGAGATGGTCTCCCTGCCTTCATCTCCCTCCTCGAATCCCACTTCCACAGGGGCTGCTGGAGAGGTTATTTTAGAGCATAAATCTGACCAGGTATGTCCCCTCCATGACTCCCATAACACCAGAGCAAGGCCCCAAGTCTAATTCCCACGTGAGACTCTCCATGACTTGGCCTCCTCTGGGCCCCTGGGCCTCATCCCACTTCCTCTCTCACCTTGCTGTCCATCTCTTTCCTTTCCCACTGCCTGAACCTCCTGCGCCTTCTCCAAGACGCAAGCACTTCCCCACTTGGTTTACTTCAAGCGTTAGTGTCACCACAGGGTTCTGAGGGCCCGCTCTTTCCTTCCCTCAGGGTCCCAGGAAGAAAATGAGGCCCCTCTCATGGCTCCACCAGGGGAGGAGATTCTGCCCAGCTTTACTTTTGGTGGTGTGTCTCACCAAAACAATAGGTCTTTTTGTTCTCCTTTCCCAAATACGAAATCATAGCCCTGAAGGTGCTCTTTCGCTCGGCACAGGGGACACTCGGGCGTGCAGCTGCACTGTGGAGGACCAAGGCTCCAGGCACAAACCCAAATGGCACAGCCTGGAAAACAGGGTCCCTGACACCCTCCTCCCTCCCCCAGGCCTCTCCCTGCCGCAGTACGCTGGAAAAGCTCATGCCCGCCTCTCTAGATGGGGCCTTCATCCTGGGCCGAATGACCACCTAGCGAGCGCCCAGCTCAGCTTACAACCCCACTTTCTCCATTGGTCACCCGAACCTCCGTCCCTCTCTAAGCTTCATCCCCGCAGCGGCAGAGCAGGATCCAGCCAAGGCCAACTCTTGCTGGGGGCGAGGGGGGGTGGCGCTCAGGACAAGGAGGCGCCGGCAACTGCAAAACCAAAGGCTTTTATTGAAAAATATCAAGTGGCCCCTTTCAAGGCTGCCGGTCGCAGCCCAACGCTGGCCTGGGGCCGCGGCCCGAGGGGGCAGGCAAGCAGCGGCGGCCACCCCAGCTCCGCGCTCTAGAGGGGTGACGTTTCATTGTCTACGCCAGCTGGTCCCCGGGCTCCGCAGTCCCGCTCCCCGGCCCGCGGAGGGGTGGCAGCTGCGGAAGGGGCGCCGGGCTGGCCCCTCCCAGTCCAGCGAGAGAGCTGCCTGGCATCTGGGCTGGGCTGGTCTCCGATGCCAGGCTGCACTCTGCACTGGGGGGTGCTCCAGCTCGTGGGGGTGGTGGGGTCCCCCCGCGTCTGCCCCCTCAGACGTAGTCCTTGCGGTCGTAAGCTGTGCCCGTGCCGGTGCCCTGCCCGGCGGAGCGCGGCGCTGAGTAGAGGATCTTGGCGGGCGCATATTTCTTCTCGCGCGGCGGGCACGAGCAGCAGAGCAGCGCGCCCCCCAGCAGCTGCAGCGCCGCGGCCGCCCAGCCCACGTACAGGCTGGCGCCCATCTCGCGCTTCTGGGACTCGGGCACCAGGGAGCTGTAGAAGTCCTGGATGATGGTGTTGGCCGACCAGGACACCGGCACGAGGGTGAGCACGGCGGCCAGCAGGTAAAGCACGCCCGCCACGATGGTGATCTTGGCTTTGGCGCTCTCGTCCTGCACACAGTTGGTGCACTGGGCGCCCACGAGCGCCACAAAGAGCCCGAAGGCGGCCAGCAGGATGGCGACGATGATGAGGGCGCGGGCCGCCTGCAGGTCCTGCGGCAGCGCCAGCAGCGAGTCGTACACCTTGCACTGCATCTGGCCGGTGCTCTGTACCACGCAGTTCATCCACAGGCCCTCCCAGATGATCTGCGCCGTGATGATGCTGCTGCCGATGAAGGCCGATACGCGCCACTGGGGCAGCGCGCAGCACACGATGGTGCCCAGCCAGCCCAGCACGGCCAGCGAGGTGCCCATGATCTCCAGGCCCATGGACATGGCTGCCGCGCCAAAGCCGGCTCTGCCGGGCAGCTCCGGGTGCGGGACGACGAGGGGCCGGGGCCGCTGCGCCTGGACCGGAGCTGCGGCGCGCCGATGGACTGACGCCCCGACTGACGGACCGACGCGCAGACGGCGCGCGCGCTAACGGCTCGGCACTGCCCGCTTGCGCCGCAGCTGCGCCTGCACCTGCCTGTGGCTCTGTAGGAGGGCGGTGGAGACTGGGCTGGCCCTGGTCTGGGGCCGGTTGGTTTTAGATCCGTGCCCTAGCGTTTTGGCAGGGGCGGGAGGGGCGGAGCCGCTCTCTCCCGGGCCTGGGGACAGTGACGTGGCCCCTCTTCCTACCTTCACCGTGTGCCCTGGGAGGAAGGACTTGGCCAGGAGTGGCGCACGGCGCGGGGATGGGGGTGCCAAGAGAGGGCGGGGCCGGGCCTGCGCCCCCGCCCCTCCTTCCTCGTTCCCCACAGCTCGGAAACGAATTCCTCAGGCCAGCCGGGCAAGCGGTGCAAATCACAATCTGCTGGACACTCCCCCCACCTCGTTTTCAGTGCGAGTGGCACGGACGGCGTGGGGAACCGGGCCCTGCCAGCTGCCCGGGATCCGCAGGGACGAGGAGGGCCCAGTGTGGGCGTGGCTGCGGCTGTTTTCCGGAGTGGGCGGCTGCCCCAGGAGCTGTGCACCTGCTCCTCGGTCCCTCCGGCTTCTGAGGCAGCACTCGCCGCGCACGATCCCGGCCTGATCCAGGCCCATGGGGTTGCCAGCCCTGGAGGTCTGGGCTCAGAAGCCAAGGCGCTCAGAAGGTTGCCCTGAGCCAGTGCTGAACTCAAGTTCCCCTCCAGCCCCCTGCAGGTCCCACAGCTCTTATCCCTCGCAGTGATCCCGGATCCCTTTAGCTGAGCTGCTCTCCCCTCCCCGAAGCCCCCCTCCTCCTTAGTAAGTCCCCTCCCCTCACAGAGCCCTGTCCTTTTTCCCTCTGGGCCCCGACTCAGTGCCGAGATCCACCTTAATGAAATGGTGATGAAAGAGATTTGATCCAGGCAGAAGAGGGAAGTCAGAGACGCTACCTGCGGTGCCCTTGCCCCCACACCTGCGCTCTCCCTCACCCTGCTTAGAGCCCTTCAGAGTTGGCCTGGGAGGTTCTGCCCAGTCTGCCCGCCACCCTCTCTCTTCCTCTCACTCCCGCGCTTGGATCTCTGGCTGTGCCTCCAGTAATGCCACATGCTTCCCCTTCAGGCCCCTAGGCTTGTGGTGTCCTCTGCATGGGACACCTGCAGATACCGACGTGGCACCCTCCTTCCACCTTTCAGGTTTTGCTCCCAGCGAGGACTTCCCTGACCGCACTATTTAAAATCGCAGCTACTCACCCCACAGAGTCCTGCCCAGTTTTCATACTTTATATTCTCCTTAGCATTTAACACCATCTGTCATACTTTATGTTTTTCTTACTTATTTTTTCTTCTCTCTCTCTCTGCTCCAGTGTGTCAGCTCCATTGGGACATCCAGAATGTCCCCAAATGGGCAAGGATTTCTGCCGGTTTTATTCACTGTGGTATCTCCAATGCTTGGAACAGTGCTGGGTACTCAAGAGAAAGTTGATTTAGTGACGTGAATGAAGGAAGGGCATCACGTTCTTGTGTTCTTGCCACCTTGCCTGCCCAGGACCTCTTGCTGGCATGAGTGACTGATGATGGGACACTGCTGCGTCCCCGAATCAGGGAGCTTCGTGATCTGGTAGGAAGCAGGGGCAGTTCCAAGTGAGATGAGAGACCTCACTGAGCGGGCCTGGGGGTTTTTCTGGTTTGCCCCACATCTCTCAAATCGCAGGCGTGAAGCCTGTGTCCTCTTCTGTCCCAAGCCCTGGGATGATACAAAAGTAAGGTAAACAGGCCCATGGAAACTAGGGTGCTACCTCTTTCAGGGGTAAAGGTCTTGGGCTGGGCCTGTTGGGGCTGGGCTGGGCAGGGCTGGGAGTGCCCGACCAGAGGGCCCAGCGGGTGCTGGGTGAGGGCTGCCCTGGGAGAAGTTCCTGTAGCCCGGGTCCGCTTTAGTGGCCTGCTGGCTGCTAGAGTTTCCTGGTTAGTGGGGGTGGCTTTGGGCCAGGAGAGAGGCAGCACCCTCAGGCAGTGTGGCTGGATTTAGGGTGGGGGCTGAGGTCAGATGCTCTTGGCCAGAAAGCGGGCCTCCTGCTATTGTGCCTGGGTGTGGTGCTGTGACCTCTGTCTCTTGCTAGCCGTGAGACTGAGGAAAGTCTCATCACCTCTCTCTCTCTCTCTTTTTATTGAAGTATAATTAACACACAATATCCTATTAGTTTCAGGTGTACATCATAGTGATTCGATATTTATGTACATTATGAAGTGATCACCACGATAAGTCTAGTTACCATACAAAGTCATTACAATATTATTGACTGTGTTCCCTGTGTTGTACATTACATCCTATGACTTATTAATTTTAAGTCACATTACCTCTCTTAACCTCAGTTTCCTCCTCCGTAAAGTAAAGAAAATGATGTCTACATGACCCACCTCCCAGGGTTGTGATGAGAATGCAGGCAATGTAGTGTATCCTAAACCAGAAACAACCAGGACAGAGCATTCAAATGAGCAGAGCAGCTGCGTGGAGAGAGTGTGGGGTTTGGTTGGACAGACCTGAATTTGAGCCCGGTTCCCTCTCAGCGGTCGTGTGACCTTGAGCAAGTCCCTTTCTACCTTGAGCCTCAGTTTCTTCATCTGTGAGGAGGGTTCTGAGTTGTTGGGTTGGGGGGGCAGGAAGAGGTACCTTGTTCCTGAGGCTGAGTGAGGCGGACTTGCTGGGCAAGGCTGTGAGGAGATGAGGGCAGCAGGACGGGGAGTGTCGTGCCCAGGGGCCCGACTTAGGGACTCTGTAAGTAAGACTCTGGTGCTGGGCAAACAGCTCCAATCAGATTTTTGCTTATATCAACCATGGTTTTTACAACCCAATAATAAAAAGACAAATAACCCAATTAAAGAATGGCCAAAGGATCTGGATAGACATTCAGAATAGACAAAGAAGATATACAAATAGCCCAGAAGCACATGAAAAGATGTTCAGCACCATTAGTCATTAGGGAAATACAAATCAAAACCACAAAGAGATGCTGCTTCACACCCACAAAGATGGCTAGACTCAAAAAGGCGCATGATGACAAGTGTTGCTGAAGAGGTAGAGAAGTTGGAAGCCTCGTACTTGCTGGTAGGAATGTAAAATATTGCAGCTGCTTTTGAAAACAGTCTGGCAGTTCCTCAAAAGGTACAGTTTCCATATGACCCAGCAATTCCACTACTGGGTATTTACCCAAGAGAAAGGAAAACATACGTTCACACAAAAAGCATGTACACAAAGGTTCATAGCAGCATTATTCATAGCAGCCAACAGTGGAAACATCCTAAATATCAGTTGATGAATGGATAAACAAAACATGGTTTATCTACACAATGGAATATTATTCAGCCATGAAAAGGAATAAAGTTCTGATACATGCTACAACGTGGATGAACTTTGAAAACATTATGGTAAGTTAAAGATCTCAGTCATAAAGGACGACATATTGTATGATTCCATTTATAAAAAGTATCCAGAGTAGAAAAATCTATAGAGACAGAAAGTAGATTGGTGGTTACCAGGAGCTGTGGTGGTGGGTGTTGGGAGGAAATGGGGATTGACTGCTAATGGGGACAGGGTTTCTTTTCGGGGTGCTGAAAATGTTCTACAACTGATTATGCTGGTGGTTGCATAACTCTGTGAATACAGTCATGCTCCACATAACGAGGTTTCAGTCAGTGACGGACCACATGTACAATGGGGGTCCCCTAAGATTGGTACCGTACAGCCCAGGTGTGTAGTAGCTATACCATCTAGGTTTTGGTAAGTGTACCCTATGATGTTTGCACAACAACAACATCACCTAATGACACATTTCTCAGAACGTATCCCCATTGTTAAGCAACACATGACTGTATACTAAAAACCATCGAATAGTACAATTTAAATTGGTGAGTTGTATGCTATGTAAATTATATCTCAATAAAGCTGTTAAAATAAAAACCAGTATGGTGCTGAGGCCTGCAGTGTGTGTCTGTGAGGTGTGTGTGTGCCCCAGAGGGTAGGATGAAGCTGTCTTTGGAGGAGCGTGCTGTGAGGGGCGGGGGTGAGGCTCAGGGGCTCCAGGCACAAGACATCCCCAGCACACACACTCCTGAGCCTCTTGTCCAGAAACAGCAGATGACGCAAGGTGGGCCAGATGCTCCAGGAACGGACCCCTGCAGTAAGTGCCGAGTGGCTGCAGTGGTCCAGGAGAGCTCCCCATGGGAGGCTGGGCAGAGTTGGAGGAGAAAGATTTGGCTGGTGGAGGTGTCTAGGTGTGTTTGGGTAGAATGTTGTGTGTGTGTGTGTGTGTGTGTGTGTGTGCGTGAGTGTGAGATTCCAAGGAGCAAAGGGCTAGGAAAGGAGGAGGTGAGGGAATAGTGCCCACAGCTGGGAGATTGGCCTGTCCCCCGTCTCCTGCCCTGTGTCCAACCCCCAAGAAGCAGCCATCAGGGCCTGCTTCTCCCCTGCTGCTGCCGTGACATCTTCTTTCTCCGGTTCCGCACACTCAGCCCGTTCTCTCCTATCCCCAGTAGGCAGTCTCTGCTGGGGCTGGAGTCCTGCAGCCTCTAGGGTCAGAAGTGAGGGTTGTATGCAGAGGTGGCCGGGGGAAGAGCCCAAGGCCTGAGGAGTTTGGGGCCCCAGATGCCCTGGCTAGCGGCAAACCATGCGGAGCCCGGGGGGCCCATCTATACATACTGTGGTTGCTGAGTCCCTGGGGGAAGCGCCACCCTTTAATCTGCTGCAGCGTCTGGGTGTCAGTGTGGTGGAGGGTGTGTGTGTGTCTGCGGGTGTGCAGTATTTGTGTGTGATGTATCCGAATGTGTGAGGATGAGAAATAAACAGTAACGACTGTGCATATCACTAAATGTATGTTTTAAACTCTGCTGTCAATTTCACTTGATTACAGCGCTAAACATGCTCCTAGTGCTCGGCCAAGGGTCATAAACTGCGGCCCAGGGGCTGGAATTCAGCCTGCAGGGTTTTGTTTGACCAGCAAGCACGAAGTTTTTCTGAAAACTGAATTAGAATGCTTCTAGGTGGGGCATGCATACTCCATTTGCTACTGGTGCTCCACACCTACCATCCTTTGTTGTTTTAATTAAACTTTTTACTTTGTGTATGTTGATTCACAT